AATGCTTGCCTAAACCTCTACATTTAGAGTTAATGAGTTAAATCAGTGCGAGGAAAGAAAGAAACAATTCATTTGGCAAAGAATACTGCAGTATGCCCTCCCTCCACCATCCTGTTTGTTCTATTCCCAAAGTATTAAAATGTTTCTGAGAAGCTCCATATAGCATGTTTACAGTATATTTATGTCTAGGTACATAATAAGTAACTGATGTAACAAATATACTGTATGTAAATTATATAGTAAAATGGTTTTAATGCCATCTTCCTCAGAAAGATGTTTGACACATAACCTGAACATTTGACTTTTAAGAACCCCCTAGAGAAGTACTAAAGAAAATGGGTATGCAAAGAATACTTAAACGAAATAAACATGTCAGCATGAAGTCTTGTCTCTTTCTGTATTTCAATCTATAGATGATAAAGCCCAAGATGATAGGTCAAAGTCTATTGACAGAGAAGGAGGAGGAAAAGGAGAAGGAGGAATGGAAACATAAGCAGGAAATTTGATAAACTGCTGAAACATTGTCAAATAATCCAGACGAATACCTTTGTCAGAAGAGTTAACAAGATAACAAGACACCTTTTTTCCAAGTGAGAGATAGAACAGGCCCATGTAGCAGCTTGAATGTGAAGAAAACAGAGGGGAAGCATGCTCGGGGTCAGTAACTCTGTAAAGTAGCTGTGCTGAAACTTGGACTTAGAATTTTGGACAGAGAGCCTTTGACGAAAGTGTTACCAACAGGCAGTGTATACTCCAAAGTAACTCCCTTGAAACTAGAACCAGCATGAATAGAACCCTTGAATAGAACCAACATGAAACTGGTAACTGAATTCATTTAGGGACTTAATAGAAAATATTTCCTTTGCTAACCTTAGTGTAGGCTCTTACTTTATTGGCTAATTGTAATTTTATATTGTTTTGTCTTACCCTATATGTGGCCATACTATTACTGACTTGATATACTCGTGTCAAGCTTTCTTGAAGAAAAACAAAGTAAAACATCTGAGAAGAAAGAATGGGATTAGGGCAGAGTTCTTCAAGTCATTTTATAAAATAGCAATAGCAATACCACTTCATAGTGCTTTATAGCCCTCTCTAAGCAGTTTACAGAGTCAGCATATTGCCTTTAACAATCTGGGTCCTCATTTTACCCACCTTGGAAGGATGGAAGGCTGAGTCAACCTTCACCTGGTCAGGATCAAACTACTGGCTGTAGTTCAATACTGGTTAGACTGTAGTACTGCGCTACCACGCCCCTCCATTTTCTGTGAAGCTTATGCCCCTTCTGCCACTTCTGAGTGAATTAAATGCTTTATAACATATTAGATTAGGAGAGCAACTTTTTTTTTTTTTAGCTCAAAATCTGAATGGAATATGTGTTAGGAGTTATATGCCTTCAACTCACCAGAAAAAGAACCCTAAATTTGCTCTTATTTAAAGTAATTAAAAAAATATTTAGCATAATTATCCTCTCATACATTTAATAATTTTTCTTGGGTAAGTCTTACAGAGGAATTCTAGAGGTCAAAGAATTTCAGGCCCTGAGATCTTCTTTATCTCTGTATAATGTGTATTTTGGCAAAATGTTATTTTTTACTTTCTTCTTCTTTTTATGGTAGAGACTGTTACAAACCTTGTTTTATTTGGCCACAGATAAAATAATTTCTTCTACTGTAAATTTATTTTGGAGATAAACAGATACAATTTAAAATCTTACTGCTTCCATTTTGTAATTGTTTTCTCTCTAATTAGTTCTTTCCTTTACAGGAAAGAACTCGCAATGTCACGTGACGTGTTGTGATGTATCACGAGATTTTTTTTGCCATTGCTGGCAGTGGGATGGGTGCGGTTTCATTATGATGCATCTGGCCCGTGGGCCAGCAATTTGACACCCCTGCTTTACAGCATAGCATTTTAGGTGGCTGGCAGGAGGAGTATTAAATTCTAACTTATTTACTTAGAGAACCAGTTGTTTTTAATCAGTTAGAATATTTATTAACAATCACATCTCATGGACAGTATGACAAGTTGTTTCTATCAGAAATACATCAACAAAGGTCCATGCTTATTTAAAAGTGATAATTTACTCTTTAGAAGGATAAGCTTCTTTTTATGACCTTCCTCCTCAATTTCTCTCTTCTATTCTTAACTCTATTTCTCTTTATATAATTCCTTAGCTTAGTACAATGCAAATATTCCATCATTTCATTACAAGTTTTTTTTTTATACCTGATTACTCCCAAATGTTGTTCCCATCTTATGGTCATCTACATTTCTCTGGTTTTGATATAGTAAGATTAACTCCATTTATCTGAGAGAGTCCAATAAAGAGTTTTTAGATGTCACTCAGTAGTGTTAGAATTCAGGTGATTTATTTTAGTTAAGTGAGATATATGGATATAATTGATTGAAGTAATTAAATTATATAAGGTCATCAATTGCAATGATATTTAACTGTGCAGCCAGAAGCCATAATGTATTTTGGGAACACTTAATGTCTGTCCATAAGCATAGCATATCCTGAATATATGTAGCTATGAACTGGTTTGAAATAGGAAAACAGAATGCTGACTATCATGTTAGACTCTAGACCAGTGGTGGCGAGCCTGTGGCATGCCAGAGGCGGCATTCGGAGCTCTCTCTGTGGGCAGAGGGCATGGCCGCCATGGTGCTGCAGGGCTGCCTGGGTGATCTGCTACAGAGGGCCACGGAGGCAGGGAGTGGCCCTGTGGGAGGGCGGGGCAGGGACAGAGCAGGGAGGCAGGGGTGGAGTGGGGAGGGTGGAGTGAGGATGGGGCAGTTTTTGGGCACTCGGTCTCTAAAAGGTTTGCCATCACTGCTCTAGACTATGGTTGTTTAACGTTTTGGCTTGCCTGGAGAAAACTGAATGAAGAGGAATTATGTTGGGGCACATATAAATATGTATAGTCAATGCATATAAATAAATGTCCTTTATTTATTTATATTTTTATAGTATTGTGGGGCCACATTACTAGCTGTCCAGGGCCACATTTGAGCTGGACAATAGTATACTAGAGTATACTAACTTGCACCTCTTAGTATACTTGCACCTTTGCTTATATGGGATATTTATAGATATTTACCACATTAAAAATTAAAATTAACACATTCACTACCGTACTACTCATGATTGTTTGATAGGTTTTAATACTATATTGTTTTTCAATATAGGCTGGTAAATGGTTTTGATTTTGCAGATCACTGGGAAGTCCTTGGGAGATTCCAGGGTTCCTAAGACCATACTTGAAGAAACACTGACATAAGCCCCCTTGGGTAAAACTTGTGCTTGTGGCATAGTGGCCAAAAACTCTTCAGAGATGTTGCTACTCCCAGAATATTTGAGTTGATTTAATTTGCCACTGAAAAAATGGCCAAAATATCTGTTCCTATCTTTACATCATTATACTGCAGAGTCAACCAAACCCTTACTGATACCTGAACAGAAGTTGCAATAGATCTTCTGGCATGAAACACATCTTCACATCAGCCCAACTTAATTTATTAAGACAAATTACTCTTTGGATCCCACCATCTAGAGGTGTGTTTGTTTGTTTGTTTGTTTGTTCGTATAGTTCATTCATCTTTGTAGGCTGTAATTCACTCTCATTCCAGTCTCTGACTTATGCATCCCACAAATTACCACACACACAGGACCCAACATATAATAGTTACTTTCACTTGCTTAACAATTGTTTAGTTATTACACACATAAAGAAAAAATCAAATTTATAAGCTGCTTAATTCTTCCTACTAAAAATAATTAAAATAGAATTTATAAGATGCTTTACCAGTTCATCCCTTTGTGAATGAGTAAGATGCACAGTAGATGGCCAGCAGCATTCTCAAAAATGAAAGTAGCTGGGAAGATGTTGGGAGATAGATGTTGGAGAAAAATTTTGTAATATTAAGCAGAACAATATATTTAGACCAGACATTTTAAGTTGGTTAAAATCAGCATTATTAAAATATTGTACACTTTGAAGAAGACAAATATTGGAACTAGTTATTTTTTTTACTTTTATAAGAAAATTATCTTCAGATTCTGGCCTTTCCATAATACCATCATCTACCATATCAGTAGTTTAGCTATTGCGATCTGTCTTATTTGTCACATTCTTCCAACTATTCTACTCCCATTTTTGACACAATAGTGCTAGCCTGAGAAGGAATATCATCTTATTAATTGTTGCATGACTTTTTTATTAGTTATGTTTCTTGCATGATTTTTCATTAAACGAATTAGTAATGCACTGAATGTTCGCCAAAAATAAGCATGCTTTTAGTTAAGATATGTGTATCCTTTTATATTTTTTTTTTATGGTAGTCCATATAGCATCCAGCAAACACTGCATATCAAAAAGCAATAGCATGTGTAAAAACTAGCTACAATTTAAACCAGTAAAGTTGTTGCTAGAATAGGGAGTAGATTATTCAAAATTTGTTAAAACAGCATTGTTGTCCTTTTGATTTTGTTTTATTTTTCCAGGGAAATAACTGCATTAATCTATCGCAGCAAACATAATTCTGGGCAACTTAACACATTTAGTGCTGCTTATGATTACATGGATAGTTTCTTTAAAGCTTGGGATTTTTCGGTCTCTGGTCTCCCGCAATACAAAAGCTCTCCCATGAAAATCATTTCAGTATGGCATAGTTATGAAATGCAAGGTGCATGTGTAAATAGTGCCAGTCAGCTGGATCTTTCCCATGCATTTGGCAGTCTGCTGGTAACAAGACCTTCTTTGTGTGAATAGTGGCCCACAGAAAGATCTGGCTCTTGGAAAATACACACGCTGTTCTACTTTGATGTTCTTTTCTTCAGGCAACATTAGACTCAAGTAACAGTTTGAAAACATATAACAATAATGCTGTAGCTAAGCAATTTAGGACTTCATCACTGCCTATTTGGGCAATCATCTGAAAAGTCCTGGGTATGCCATAAGCTATTAACAGAGCGATTTTACTGGTCTTGTTTTCAGGTGAACGCCCTTATCAGTGTCCTTACTGTGACAAAGCTTTCAGCAAGAATGATGGATTAAAAATGCACATCCGTACCCATACAAGAGTAAGTAGAATCACTTAATGATTTTGCTATGATCTGCCAAATTTAAAAAAAAAACTGGTGGAAAGAAAAAGAAAATGATGTTTCTAGGCAGATTGAGAACTGAAACATCTAAGCTGAGGATGAATTGATAAAACTGTTCCAGTTGAGCAAATATGAGATCCTTTTTTTATGTAAATATGAAACTGTTGGCATATCAGTATGCATATTTGAATTCAGTTTTGTTATCCTGGATGTAGAATGACTGTAATATTGTATTGTTGAGCTTGTATTGTAAATGAAATGTACCAATTAGGTGTTTCGCTTTGTTCATCTATACATATAATTTGGTCCTCCATCTGAACAAGTGATCTATTTTGCCCAATATTTTCACTGGTTTATTGTTTCTATTTCCCAATAATTGGGAAAACGAAAGGATTTTTTTTTCTTTGGCCAAGCAGGAACAAGCAGATAGTTTTTATGGATTTCTTGGAATAGAGAGAGCCCTAATACCTTACTATAGGTTTTGGGAGATTAATACCTAAGCACTAATACCTACATTTTATGCATATGTTTCACCATATGCCTCTACAAGGCTTCCTCAGTGCAACAGTTCACAAGGGGAAGTTGCCTTCTACTACTGTGGTCTGCATCACATCTGAATGGAGTGGTAATGGTGGTAGCCTTGATTGGTGATGGGAGGTTTCTTATGGAATGTCAATCAGTTGATTCAGGGGAGTCCTTTTAAAAAAGAAACAAGGTTTTTTTAAAAAAACAACAACAACAACATAGCTGTATAAATCCAGTTCCTGATAGCAGTATAATTTGTTTATAAATCCTTTCAAGAGTTGTCATCCTTTCAAATCTACCTATTTCAAGTTTGAATATTATCGCTTAGAAATGTCTGGCTTTAACGCATTCTGCTTATGCTATATATCTTTGTGCTAGCCATGAATGGGAGATTCATTTTCATTTTTCCTTGAAACAACTTGTGCCAACAATAATGACTGGAAAACATCTGCTGATTTCAGTTACAAGAACTGCTATAATAACTAATATTATCCAGATTAAATATGGGCCTTTTTTTGTCATGGTAACAGTCTTCAAAACTGATTTCTGTAGAAACTACTACTGCTATACTCTTTTAAAATGAGAAAATTTAAATAAAACAAACCATTAAGAAGTATTAATTTAGGCCATCAAATTCATATCAATATGCAAACTGTAAATGAGTAATAATTTGGCCTGGTATCCTAGACAACATACTACATATGTATTCGCATATTCATACAGCCATTCACAGGTGCATATACTCTCCTTTCTCATATACCATGCAATGTACCTTTTTTTGATTTTAGATACAACATATAGTATTTTCTACTATGTATAGTGCCAATAATACCAGGATGTTTTATGGTAGATAGTGCTTGTTAGCACCATTTGTCATGGGTTACATTTCTACATTGAATTTGGATCTTGGCTGAAAGTTGGAGCAGCTTAAAAAAGGAATTATGGCCACTCCCCCCAAGAAACCTTTTTTTTACATTATCCAAGTTAAAACACAGAATGTAATTGAGCTTCTGATGATATGATGCTTCTCCAATATTGAGTCAAGAAGCACACAGTGATTTATCACATAACAGCCATTGTCAAAGTTATGAGAGCATGAATTTTGTTTTCTAATGAACAAACTGTTGCTTTGCCTACTGAACAGAAGAAATCAACATGATCAGACCACCCACTGCCACCAGACAAATGATATTAGATTAAATTTGTCATCCAGAATGCATTAGTTTAATAGTTAAATAATAATCCATGGACAAGAAAGAGAACATTTTACAATATCTTCTGACTGAAAGGTAGATTATGGTGATTCCTTTTAGAAATGCTGTGGGTTTGTCAGATATATATTTGAAGTCTAATTTTACAGATTAAAAGTTCAGTCTTTTTTCCCATCTACTAAAGTAATCGTTAGACTTTCCAGTCTTCCAGCTAAAAGTAAAACAGTCTCTTACCAGGATTTTTTCTGGACTTTTATTGCCACTAAATGTTAAAGTTCAGGGAAGAATTTCAGGATATTTTGATCATTTTTATAGCTCATTTTTTAAACTGACAATGGGAAAAATAGTGACCTCATAATATAGTCTTCATATTGTAAAGGAAGTCATATGTGATATACATAATGACTTATTTCCATGTGATGGTAAATAGAAATAGAATGCAGCCCTTACAGCAAATCATATATATGACAACAAGAAAAAACAACCAGTTGAAACAGCAACATCTTATATGCAAATGCCAGAAAAGCAGCGAGATGACTGCGCATGGCAGAACATACACTCCACACGGGCGGGGCACGAGGAGAGGAGCAGGGTGCTTAAATTCAAACAGCTGTCAACGAGCGTGATGGAAACAACAGAGCAATTAACCACGGGGAGGGGGAGCCGAATAGACCGGTAACACACTCGTTAGCCAAACGCTTGGTGTTACAGAAACTATAAGAACGTGATTCTCAATCCTGGCTAGAACTCTGACAATGTCAGCAGACGCGGACGGAAGCTAAATTTTTAAATAAATTCTTTAGTCTCGATGATCTGGGTTTTAGTTTTTGAATATGAATATGAATATACCTGAGAATATACCGCAATCCTAATTTGAAATTCTAGGATTAAACATGGGATATTTTTCTGCAATTATGTATAATAATAATAATAATAATAATAATAATAATAATAATAATAATAATAATAAAGTTGGAAGGGACCTTGGAGGTCATCAAGTCCAACCCCTTGCTCAGGCAGGTAACCCTATACTGTTTCGGACAAATGGCTGTCCAGTTTCTTCTTAAAAACTTCTGGAGGCAGGTTGTTCCACTGGTTAATTGTTCTAACTGTCAGGAAGTTTCTCCTTAGTTCTAGGTTGCTTCTCTCTTTGGTTAGTTTCCACCCATTGCTTCTTGTCCTGCCTTCAGGCGCTTTGGAAAATAGCTTGACTCCCTCTTCTTTGTGGCCGCCCCTGAGATATTGGAACACTGGTCCTTCTCTTTGTTAAACTAGACATACCCAATTTCAGCAACTGTTCCTTATATGTTTTATCCACAAATTGGCAAGTGGTACCAGGTCATAGTAACTGTATGCTGGGCATTAGAGTAATTGTTTCAGTGCTAAGAGTATTTTGGTGGAGTTTCATAGCTGAAAGTTCTTAGCGTTAGCACCTTAGTGTTGTTTGTAGATACTAGCCTGTTTCAGACCAATATTACCTAAGCTGATTGGCTATGCAAAGCACTTTACCATACAACTTGGTACTTGACTACTTCTCTGCCTTTTGCTTTCAACCCAACAGCATCCATGTTCTATGAGGATGAGCAGTGAAGATCTAGCTCAGAGAGAAAACCTACAAATGCATTAGTAGGAGCAGTGGGGTATGATCCTGTCATGTTCTGATTCTAGAGCTTAATTCTTCAAAGTCAGTTCTGTCTGCTGCTTTATCCAGCTTTCCCTCTTTCTTCAGGAACAGTTTATTTGTTATAATCATGTCAACTTTATTTTCCCCATACAGGACTGTTTTGATGTGGGATACTTACAAGTAAACCCATGAAGATTGAAATTTGTAATGATTCCTTGAGAAGATTATACACTATGCAAAATATAAATTAACTTTCTCATAGTAAGCACAGGTAAACTATTCCACAGAAGAAAAACAAAAGCAGGGAAATAAAAAAAATAAGCAGTGCTACTTCTATGATTAGCAGGAGATATTGTCAGGAAAATGAACATTCATAATATGAAAATGTTGTTATATGTTCCCTGCTATTGTACATATACACCAAAGATACATATAAGCTGTAGGAGCACTTTGAGAATCAACTAAAGTCATTTTGATGGGAAAGATACTGAAGGAATCAAAATAAATATGAAAAGATAAAGTAATACAAGGGAGGAAATGGTTTAATTATCAACAGTCATTTGGAAAATTAAGGAAAAATATTTCACAGGCATTGAAGGTTCCTGGGCTTGTAAATGACAACTTGTTTGTGGTATATCTATAAAATTAAAGAAGTAGCAGTCTTCCAAAGTAAAATATTAACTATATTTATTGAATGAAAAGATAGGTTGGGTTATGGGTAGTTGTCCTTGTCAATATATTTATCAAATTTATACACTGTCTATCTCAGCTTAGTGATTCTGGGAGGTATGCAAATAAAAAAATATGGCAATGTAAAAAAAATTCAAAACAGAGTTAAAAACAGAGGTAGAACCTAAAATTAGAGGGGAGAAATTTAAAGATTAAAAACTTAAAGAGGCACAGGAAGTCTTCTTAAGTCACCAACCACCCATGGGGTTGCATATCACTCTTAGACCCCATGTCTTGATGCTCTTTGGGAGCAAAATGTTCCATAGGGCATGGGGGATCGTGGAAAAGGCTTCTTCTTAGTGCTTAGACAGCTGAATTATCTTCACTGCTTGACCAAATGAGGCAGGTCAATGTCATTGGAACAGGATGGTTCCTCCAGTAACCTAGTCCCATGCCGTGAAGGGCTTTAAACATCTTGAATTGGTTGATAATGCACATTTTGAGTGTATATTTTATTTGCAAAAATCTTCCAATTATTATTTTATTTGCACAATAGAAAGTTATTCTAATAAAATGGTTTCTGCACAATAGGTTATATAATGAAATGGTTTCTGTTTCTCACAAAGGGACAATAATTGGTTCAAGGTAACAGAATTTAGTTTGCATATTTGAACACAGTGCTAGGTATGACCACAAGAAACTAAGATTTATGTTATGTATTGTTATTGACCGTAATGTGTTTAGGTTTAAATGTGTCTCCAACTGTTTTGGAGGGACACTGAAGTTCATATTTGAGTGGGTAAACCAGTTTTAAATCTGATTGGTCACCGCCTAGTGGCGGCATGTATAAATATATGTCAGTTGTCGGTTGAATTCAGTTCTGTTATTCTTGCAATAAAGCATGTTGCATTAGATCGGTCTGGTCCATGCCTTCAAGAATCACTATTTAACAGTTTATTTGTTTTTTATCCCATCTTTATTATTTATACAAATACCCTGAAGGTGGAAAACAATACAACTTCTTCTTCCTATTTTCCCCACAACAACCACCCTGTTAAGTGGGTTGGGCTGAGAGAGAGCGACAGGCCCAAAATCACCCAGCCAGCTTTTGTGACTAAGGCAGGACTTGACCTTACGGTCTCCTGCTTTTTAGCCTGGAGCCTTAACCACTAGACACAGCTGGCTACCTAAGATGAATCTTTATCACTTTTGTGAGACTAATTGGTTTATTCACAGATCAGTAACTACCAATAATAAAACAAGGAATAGTTAAGAAAATGGACAATCTGGACTCTAGATCAGTTGCAAGTTTTTGATCAAACATTTTTAAGAACATCATGACTGGGAGCTAATGCTCTATTGAAACACAAGGTAGAAATTGAGAGCTACTAAGATCAATAAATAATAATAAATAAATAATTGTGTGCAGCACAGAAATTTTACACTAAGTGTTTAATGTTGGAGTATTTCTTTTTGCTTCCACAAGTTACCAGTGGGTCAGTACCACACATAGCGTCAAGCCCTGACAAATTAATTATTGTAAACATAGGACCAGTGACGTCAATGACTACAAACACCACTGAAGTTTTTTTTCTTTTTTTTCTTTCCATTGTCCCAGCTACATGAATGTTTAATGGAAGTGAAGTCATTATTTTATTCAAGGACTTTCTCCTACAAATGTTATTTCTTTATTAATCACTTATAACGTATAAAAACCTGGTAAATCATTATTGAGAATAAACCGAACACCATGTTTGAATGACAGCCCAAGATCCCTAAATTAAATATTTGTAATGATCAATAATTACATAGCTGTATTTCCTATACAATATTTATATTTATCAATATTTCCGATATGGAACTATTTTGATTTATTTTCAACTTTCCACTGAACATTACATGCACATAATAAAATGGATTTTCAGACGGCTTACAAAATGTGGTTTTCATAAAGTACAATACAAAACAAATTAAGGGTGTGTTGTGAATTCCTTTTTTCATATGCTGAGACCTATACTTCTGTAAAAATTACAGGAGGCTGACATGCAATATTTTTTCAATTCATAGTCATACACAAAAGAACTCACTGATGTGAATATTTAAAAGGCAGGTTTCCTGATTAAGAGCCCTATTATGTTTGTTCCTTAAAATAAAATAAATATTTTAAATGCACAAAAGGGGATAAACATTTCACAGGAAAACTGACCATGCAAAAGAGTTCCACTTGCAAGACTCGTTGGAGATCACAAGATATAATTTTGATGCTCTGTGTATCCATAGCTTTTTTATAGTGTACTTGATAAATTTAAAACCAGCATTAGACATCTTGGAGTGATTTTTCTCCGTGATATTTCTATTATTATTTGCATAAGGATATCTGCAATCTGAAAGACTTTCCACAATGCCTTTTCACTGTGCAAGCACTGATATTTGCCTTTTAAATATGTATTTGGGGAAGGTATTGTATTTGTGATTCTTAGTCTTATGGCTAAGAAGATTAAAAATGGCTTTGATCAAAATGTAATATGTTGTAAATCAGGCTTCCAAAGATGTCATGTTATTTAGTTGTTTGTAGCAGGGGTTATGAAAAACAGACACAGATCCTTCCCCTCAAAACACTGCTTCTAAAAGGCTGGGAAAAATAATACCTCTATGTTAAAGCAGAAGGTACCAGCCCACAATTTTCCCACCCACTTTCAGTTCATCTTTCAATAATTATTTTAATTAGCTTTGTTCTGACATATGTCTCTTGGAGCTGAGATATAAAGATACATGATCCTATGTGGAATTCTGCTCTGTTAACAGCTTGTGTTCTGCATTGGCTCACCTCCTCTCCATCTCTTCTTCCTGTGTTACAGGAAAAGCCTTACCAGTGTTCTGAGTGCAACAAGGCTTTCAGTCAGAAACGTGGCCTGGATGAACACATGAGGACACACACAGGAGAGAAGCCATTCCAATGTGATGTGGGTTAAGTTTCCTTTTGATCTACTTATGTTTAATTTACAAATGAATCCCAAAGAGATTTCCCTTTAAATTGGGATGCTAAACTACTGACTTCTTAGTTGTAAAGCATTAGGATTTTCTTCTGCTAAATATTTCACTGCAACTGCAGCATTTGATATTGTTCCATAAACTTTCATGATTTGCAGTCCTTTTAAGATCAACTAATTCAGCATTAAGAGGTTAATTATGTTAGCTCAAGGTTGGTTTGTTTTTGTTATGCTAGGGACAATCTGCTACATATATTTATTTTATGGCAATATTGTTTGCACCACAGTAAATGGAATTTGGATATTTTAGATTATTTGAAACAGATCTCACTTTGTATTGAACATAAGTGGCATTATAAGAGTTGAGTGAATCTGAACACATAATTATTATTTTGCAATATGTATGAAATATACAGTAGTATTCTTGTGTTTGTCCATTCAGAACATTTATTGATTCTTGTTGGCCTTGCTCCCAGGTAAGTGTGTACAGGGCTGTACTTGTATAATTTAATTGAAAGAACTTGAACAGCTATATCTAAATCTACTCTTATCAGCTGATTTTTCAGAGATTTTGAAATATTTTAAAACGAATAAAAATTTTCATTCTCAAATAAAGATTCATATTATCGCTCTCTCTCTCTCTCTCTCTCTCTCTCTATCTATCTATCTATCTATCGTGTATTATCTTTGAGCATTTTTTTATTGAAGTTTTTTTTATTTTTTAAACATACAATCATTTATAAAAATACAATAAAATTTTAAAGTAGAAAAAAAAAAACCCCTTACCCTCCCTCCCACCCCCAACCCCCCTCCCTTCACTTCCCAGAGCAGAATACAGGGTTAATAATAATAAAAAAAATTATAATAATTAAGAAAAAAGAAAAAAAAGAAAAGAAAAAAGAGAAAAAATATATCATAATTAACCTTTAACTCCATAACCTATAAAACAATTCTCTATAATATTTAAAATTCATTCATAAAATAAATGAAACTTTTTAATTCCATACTTTTTCTGAATATAATCTATCCACCTTCCCCATGCAATAATATATCTTTCTTGTGTATGATCCTTTAAATAAGCAGAAATTTTTGCCATTTCTGCAAAACTAGATACTTTAAATATCCATTCTTCTAAAGTAGGCAAGGAATCTTTCTTCCAATATAAACCTACTAGTAACCTTGCTGCAGTTAATAAATTCAACATCAAAGTAGTTTCTTTTTCATTTAAGTCAACAAAAATACCAAGTAAAAATAGTTGAGGAGTAAACTTTATCTTTTTTCTAAAAATCTTTTGAATGTTCCACCAAATCATAATCCAAAAAGCCTTTACTTTTTTACAATTCCACCAAATATGAAAGTATGTCGCATCATTATTGCCACATCTCCAACATTTGGGCTGTATATTGGAATACATACAAGATAATTTTTTAGGATCTAAGTGCCATCTATAGAACATTTTATAAAAATTTTCTCTCAAATTTTGAGCTTGTGTGAATTTAACATTTCTTGTCCAAATTGTCTCCCATAAATCCAATGAGATCGGCTCCTGTATATTCTGAGCCCATTTAATCATACAGTCTTTAACCAATTCTGTTTCCGAATCTAACTCTAATAAAACATTGTATATTATTTTTATATGAGCCGGACTTTGATTTTTAATCTGAATAACCAATTGTCTTTCTTCTAGTGTTATTCCCTCTTTCTTGTCTACAGTCCATCTATCCATTATTTGTAAATATTGAAACCATGACTGTAGAATATTTTGCTGCCTTAGTACATCTAGGGATTTCAAATGCCAATTCGAACCAGAGCGAATTAACAATTCTTTATACAAGATTTTGTCAAAATTTTTCCCCTTAGAAGTTCCCTCAATTGCATGTCTGGGAATCCCCCAGATAGGTATTTTATAATTTAATCTATAATAATACTTCTTCCAAACACGAAGTAAGGCATTCCTCAAAATATGTGATTTAAAAGTCCGATCAACTTTCTTATTAAAAATTAAATATGCATGCCAACCATATATTAAATCCCAACCTTCCAAAAAAAGAATATCCATATTTGTTAAATTAAGCCAATCACTTAACCAAGTTAGGGCGGCTGCATCATAATATAATTTCAAATTAGGTGCCTTAAGTCCCCCTCTTTCTCGAGCATCCTGTAATATCTTAAATTTAACCCTTGGTTTCTTCCCGGCCCATATAAAATTATTGATACCCTTTTGCCATTCCTCCAAATTTGCCTCTTTTTAAAGAATAGGTATCATCTGAAACAAAAAAAGAAACTTTGGTAGAACATTCATTTTTACGGCTGAAATTCTCCACAGCAATGACAATTGCAATTTTTTCCAATCTCTTAAATCCTTTTGGACTTTTGCCCATAGTGGTTCATAATTGTTCTTATACAATTTTCCATTTGAAGCAGTTAGATATACTCCCAAATATTTAACCTTTTTTACCATCTGAAAACCTGTGGCTTTAATCAAACTTTCCCTATCTTTAACTGACATATTCTTAGATAATATCTTAGTCTTATAATTATTAACTTTAAAACCAGAAACATTCCCATACTGTGTTATAAGTTCTAATAAACCATCAATCGCCTGATTCGGTTGTTCCAAAATTAAAACCAAATCATCCGCAAATGCCCGCAATTTATACTCATTCTTCCTTACCTTTACACCCTTAATTAACTTTGATTCCCGAATCTGAATCAATAAAATTTCCAATGTTAAAACAAATAACAATGGGGATAATCCTTGTCTTGTCCCTTTTTGAATATTAAAATTCTCAGTCAATCCCCCATTTACAACAATTTGTGCAGATTGCTGCTGATATATAGCTTTAAGTGCATGTAAGAAATTATCCCCAAAATTCATTTTCTCTACCAAAGAGAATAAAAATTGCCAGTCCAATTGATCAAAAGCTTTTTCAGCGTCCAAAAAGATAAAAGCCACAGGAATCTGATTATTCTTATCCAAGTACTCAATTAAATTAATAATTTGTCTAACATTATGTGTCATGTATCTCCCTGTTATAAATCCTGCTTGATCACTATGAATCAAGTCTTTCATAACCTGGCATTAGTCTATTTGCCAAAATTTTTGTAAATATCTTATAATCAACATTCAATAATGAAATTGGCCTATAATTCTTAGGCTCTTTGAGCATTTTTAATTGATAATCTTTTGTAGCAAAAAATAACAGTATTCTTTGATGTTTTACAGATATTCTGATGGCCCACTTTATTAGGGTAATTGCTAGGTAATGATAGATAGATAGATGATAGATAGATAGATAGACAGACAGACAGACAGACAGACTTAGTTCTTAGTCTTATTTAAAGAACAAAATGAGTACAAGCCAGCCCCACCTTAATTATAGCACCAATACAGTATATATGTTTGTATTTATAAAAATAAATCAGTTTCCAACCTTTTCTTATGAATGCCATACATATAAAGGGGAAGACTTTCTTTCTACATCCTGTTCATTTCTTACTTTCTAAGGAAACCATTTTTCCTTTGTCAAAAAGCATAATTTTTATTATGAGGGAGTCCTCAGGAATTAGAGGTACATAAAGGTACATACATTTTATACTATTAATTTGGCACATTACATTGTCTGCTTTTTTATATTAAAAAAGAGCTGAAAAACTGGGTCTCACGTCTGCCAAAATCTTGCACACAAGTTAAAAATCACTACAAAGCACTATGGCTCACATGCTTTTACTAATGAGCCGAGGCGGCGCAGCAGTTAGAGTGCAGTACTGCAGGCCACTTTAGCTGACTGTGTTCAGCAGGTTAGTGGTTCAAATCTCACCGGCTCAAGGTTGACTCAGCCTTCCATCCTTCCGAGGTAGGTACTCAGCCTTCCATCCTTCCGAGGTAGGTAAAATGAGGACCCAGATTGTTGGGGGCAATGTAAATATATATATACATTGCTTACTGGTGTACACCGCTTAGAGAGTGCTTGCACTTAAAGCAGTATATAAGTCTCATAAATAAATAAATAAATAAATAAATAATATTATTCATTATAAATAATGCTCCATGGAACACTCTACCAAAGAAAATAAACTCTGTTCCCAAAATATCTTTAAGGGAAGGTAAGCATCTTAAAGAAACTTCAGTGGCGTATTGGCCTCAGTTGGGTTCTTCGAGAATACTAGCTTTAATCTAAATAGACTAATCCCATAGAGCAGTGGTGACGAACCTATGGCACGGGTGCCAGAGGCGGCACTCAGAGCCCTCTCTGCGGGCAAGCGCACTGTTGCCCCAGCCCTGCTTTCTCCTGTGGCCCCTCCTCACCAGCAGCCCCCCCCAGAGGAGAGTCACCCCCAGGCATAGCCCACACTGAGAAGTGCGGCCAAAGACATGGTAAACGGGCAGCAGGGACAAGACTCTGCCCTCGCACCCCATTGCAGATTATGGTGCGGGTAGAGGGCTTGGCTGCCATGGTGCTGCAGGCCACCTGGGCGATCTGTGGCAGGTCATGGAAGCGGTAGGTGGCCCTGTGGGTGGGTGGGGCAGGGGGCAGAGCGAGCAGGGGTGGGATGTTTTTTTGGGCACTCGGTGTCTAACAGGTTTGCCATCACTGCCATAGAGAGTTAAATTAACCTCATTCAGAGAATGACCAACTGTGGGGTTTACAAACCTTTATCCAAATAAGAGGCAACTGCAGAGTCTCTTGATTTTGTTAAAACAATGAAACAGTGTTACGATGCAAGTTCTACTATTTTTACATTATATCTGCATGGGACATCACAATATATATGGGAAGTTGTGGAATTTACACTGCTCCAACTCTGGTCTAGGGAACCAAAATGAAGTAATCACTTATTTTTTGCTAATCCAATGATTACCTCATTGCTAAACAGTCTTTCAGTGACCAAAACAATATCTATCTATCTATCTATCTATCTATCTATCTATCTATCTATCTATCTATCTATCTATCTATCTATCTATATAC